GAGTGTTATGCGGATAAGGGAAAATAGAAGAAACATCAAGAAAAAGAAGCATATATTGCTCAGGAGGATTCAGATTCAAAGCCACTAACCTTGATGGTGACCACTTCTGTTGAAAGTTCTAATTCTCATGCTGACCTATGGTACCTAGATTCTGGGTGTTCAAACCATATGACATGCCATCAAGAATGGCTAATCAATTTTGATGCTATGAAGAAGAGTAAAGTGAAGTTTGCGGATGACAGTACGTTAAAGGTGGAGGGCATGGGAGATGTTGTGATTCGAAGGAGAAATGGTTTGTATGCAATGATCACTGGTGTACTATTCTTTCCTGACATGAAGTGTAATTTACTAAGTGTCGGTCAGTTGATCCAAAGGGGGTTTAAAGTGGTGATGGAAGACAACAAAGTCGAGCTATTCGATGTTGACAAGAACCTAATCTTGAGAAGCAAGATTTCCAAGAACAAAACGTTCCTGATCAATTTAGAAGCTGTTGAAAGTTCTGAGTGCATGGCTTCAGTAAAGATCAGTGATGAAAGCTGGCTATGGCACCTGAGGTATGGTCATCTGAACTTCAAGAGTTTGAAACAACTCAGTACGAAGGGGATGGTTTATGGATTGCCTGACATCATACTACCGGAAAAGGTTTGCGAAACTTGTATGGCTGGGAAACAAACTAGGAAAACATTTAAAACTCACCTAAGCATGAGAGCAAAAGACTGTCTAAGAATGGTTCATTCAGACATTTGTGATCAAAATGAAGAGTGACGAGTTGGAAATCTTCATACGGTTCAAAGCTCATGTTGAAAGGGAAAGCGGTAGACGAGTGAAGATTCTCATAACAGACATGGGAGGAGAATATACATCTACCGCATTTGAGAGTCATTGTCAGATGCATGGGATCACTCATGAGGTCATCGCCCATACACTCCTCAACATAACGGGCTTGCAGAGAGGAGGAACAAAATGATTCTCGATATAGCTAGAATCATGTTGAAGGAGAAGGCATTGCCACGAAAGTTGTGGGGTGAGGCGGTATCCACATCTGTCCATTTGCTTAACAGGTGTCCAACAAAGAAATTATAAGGAAAAGTGCCACTTGAAGCGTGGACAGGAGAAAAATCGATAGTTGGCCATTTGAAGGTGTTTGGTTCACTTGTGTTTTTGCATGTCCCTGATCAGAAAAGATCGAAGCTGCAGGATAAAAGTAAAATTATGATATTCATTGGTTATCACCCCACTGGTGCTTACAAACTCTTTGATTCAATTGAAGAGAAGGTTGTTTTGAGTAGAGACGTAATGGTTCTAGAAAATGAGAGTTGGGATTGGAACCAGAGGCACACCAATCTTGTGAAAACCAAAATAGCTAAGGATGCTGATAACTCTGTCTCAATAGAGTCAACAACGGTGTCCGAAGATAGTAGAGAGGTGCAGAATGATGAAGTGGGCAGACCACGAGTGTGGAAAATAAGACTAATTTATTATTCTCAATCATGAAAAATACATTCTGATACTTTCTATTTGTAATAATCTAATTTTCCTAAAAAGGGAAATAGGAAAACTAGGAAAGTAAAATAAAATAAAGATTATATATCTATTTCTTCTAATTAGGAAGATTCTAAAGATATTATCTCAAATTACAACACTCCCCCTCAAGCTGGATCATAGAAGATTGTACGAACCAAGCTTGGAATAGTCAAACTCAATTGTAGAGAACGTCAATAAACCAAATTGGACAACAATGGACGAGGGCGAACTAGCACCATGAAACTTCAACTTGGACAGTAATGGACGAGGGAGATTTCCATAAAAAATGGACGATGACTTGTAGCAGCAAACAACAACAAACTACAAGAACAGATGAAGGGCCTCCAGTAGCGAACAACAACAAACTTGCAGGAACTGAACTGTCTGCAATGGCTAACAGCAACAAACCTATAGGGACTTAACCACCCTACAACGGCTGAAACAGTAACAAACCTTCAAGGACTAACTACCCTGCGGCGACTGAAAAAGGGACTTCATTATCCTAACAACAACGAACTTTTAGGGATTTAACTGCCCTGAATAGCAACAAACCTGCAGGAACTGAACTGCCTTGCAATAGCTAACAACAACAAACCTGTAGGGACTTAACCACCCTACAACAGCTGAAACTTTTCTTCCCCTCACGACTGAACGACATATGCAAGTCAATGACAGAACGTGAAGGTGGAAGAACTGGTGAGAACCGATCTGTACTTGAGGACAAATTTGAAACCCCTAACTTTTCTGTTTTGGGCTTGGACCCGTTTTCTGCTATTCTTATGGGCTTGGGCTTATTTTTCTGTAATATTTAGAAGTCTATATAAGGCTTTAGTCTTCCTAGGGTTGGTATTTTTTGATGGCTTAAGCACAGAAACACACTTTTCACCCCTTGGGGGTAGATTCGGGGATGGTGACGGCTCTCCTCTTCTCTTTCTCGGGTTTTTCTATCTCTTTCATTCTTTCATTCCATTATTCATCTAGTTCTTCCATGACGATGGAGGGCTAAACTTTATTGTTGTTGGGAAAGATGTAACCTTCTTAAACTCTCATGTATTGAATTTGTTCTTCATGATCTTTTATAAGATACATGCTTTCTTTCATTAATTGTTAGGGTTTTTCCTCTTTGCTCAAAGCATGCATTGTTTAACTCATTTGATGTCATGATTATTGATTTTGTTGATATGGACACATACGGGGAAATCTAGATCTGGGGAATCTCTCCCATCAATATATTACAAACCTAGACATAGGAGTATGATAGTTGGTTGTCTTTAAGCTTCTGTTCACTATAATGCATGATTAATTGCTAGGGAGACAAGACATTGTAAACTAGTGATTATGATTAGGCTTTCTTCGCCGAGACATCGGGTTTAAGGTAATTTAGAGAGTGACATTAACATTAATGAAAAGAAAGACGAATTCATAAATGCATGAGAGTAAATTAGGTTAAATCTAAACCCCAACAACAATATCATCAACTTCATCCATTCTTTCTTGTGTTTAACCTCAATTGATCAAATTGCATTCATGTTTATTTTATTGCATTTGCATTCAAAATCCCAAAAATATGTTCTTTATAATCTTAATTAGTTGAGTAATCACATAATTGTTTAGTGTTGTGAGTCTCTTGGAAAAACGATACTTGGTCTTACCATCTTTTATTACTTGATACGATTCGGTTACACTTGCCGAGGTTTAACAAATTTTTGACTCCGTTTTTGGGATTGAAAATTTGTTCAAGTTTTTGACGCCGTTGTCGGGGACTCGTGGTATAACTATTCTATTTGTGTGATTCTTAACCGATTAGACTTTATCTTTAATTTTTATCTTTTTATTTCTTTATATTTTTCTATCTTTTTATCTTTTCATTTTTTTCTCTTTTTAATAACAAGTCAAAACTGTTAGTTTGGTAGTTTTCGGTTATTAAATTTTTGTTCCTGAGACACTACATATGCTCTGTATATAAACTGCAACATTTGCAGTATCAATAATACAACATATAGATACTTCTTCAATTCATTCTCTCTTCCAATTCTCCAATACAATAAACATAATAAATAGAATTTTTAAAATAGTTTTTATAAAAGTCAGTTAGCATTCCATCACTCATCATAATTTCCAATGGAATGTTAACTCCGCCACACTGTTGAAGGATGAAATTGCAATGAACATGGAACAAACATCAGAATTATGTTTATCATTGAACAAAGTACATAGAAGCAGAGAAATGAATATATAATTAATATCACTAACTTTTTTTTATTGTGAATAAATAGTGAATAGAACTAGGATACAAATGAAGCAATCGCCTGAAATAAACAAACTGGGAAAACCTGAACTAGCTCTACAAATGGATTACAACCCACGGACAGGTCATGGGGAAAATGAGAAAAGAAAGCGCAGTTCATATAAATTTACTAATCTTCTTCTATGGTATATGACAGCCGGAATTGCCCAATAAAAAACACCTATCAGTGTTTAGCAAACATCCCCTGTGTTAAGGAGGAAAAATCATAATCCTTCGCTGACTGTGTAGTACTAGATGACACTGGAGCTCCTGACTGGGGTTTACTGGCTCCCATTGTCGCCATCACACCGTTAACTGGAGGTGGAACTTGCCCCATACCATAGAAACTGCATAAAAAATGCATTATAAACTTGGTATAAGTTTGGGAAATGGTAGGAACCAACAGTGAAAAACAAGTTTGTAGGTTTTCTTTGGTGAACAAGAGCGCTGGTTGATGCATAAAATCAATAGAGATCACTAAAAATGATAAAATACAGAAACGGCACAATATGCAGTTTTTAGATTGGTGCGCGGTTTGACACGAGATCTTCAGTAAAAGATGACATAATCCAGGTAAATTCCATGTTCCGTAGATCTAGTTCACCTAGAATTTTCATTTCGTGAATGAGGAGGGCGGAACCATTAGCTTTGAAAAATTAGAGTGGTTGAAATGGAAACATAACCCCCAAAAGTAGCCTTAGTGTACACTCTAAATCATTTTGGCTTATGGAACTAAAGTTGATTGGACCCAATTATCCACCCAGGTTAATGGACCAACATAAGGTAATAATCAAATAAAATATTCCTACAAGTAATCCAAAGAGATTAATATGGTGATGATCACACCAAATAATGACATACCTAGATGGTTGATATTGTACAGAGCTCCCAGCAAAATGTGCTGGGGTCATGTTCGTAATCTGCACCTGATAGAAGAGAAACAAGTTAGTTGCTGGGCAAAACCAATAATTCATCATTTAACATTTGGCTTATTTCAGTCATTACCTGCATGGGCAATGCTCCAGAAATCGAGTAGCCAGTAGCTGGCCAACTTTGCACAGGAACATTTGGTCTAGGTTCTTGTATGCCCGCAGGATACTTGAGATCCCCACCAGAAGATTTAGCTGCAGCAGCCATTAGAAGAGACTGTTGCTGTAGCATGGCAAGCTGCTGCTGATGCATAGAAAATGGAGACACCATATTGCCCTGCAATATCAAAATGACTGGTCAGGTAAAAGTATTTCAAATACCAGAAAAAAAGCATCTAATGATAGAGTGCAACTAAAAAAATTGTTGTTTTAATATTGACGTGGATATATCTTGCACATTGAGCATCTAGAGAACAAATCAAATAAGGGTAGAAGAACTTTATATTGAATAAATAAGACTAAACAAATCAAGTAAAAGAAGTAACTCCGAAATCTCACAAACCTATAGAAGAATTTGCAAGTACCTTCTCAAAGAGGCTCATTATATCATTTTTAACATCTTTCTGTGGCTTTTCTGGAGTTAAGCTTGGCATCATAGGTGAATCTTTGAAAAGATCCTCAATACCAGCTGCAGACAGAGCACTATTATCAGCTACTTTTGGCGGCGGACTAGTCTTCTCAGCTGTTGACACCTCTGCAGCAGCTGAAACAGTTATGGCAAAAAAAATTAAGTTCTACCCAACATAATTGAAGCAACTTAACATCTTCAAAAACTATCCAGCAACACTTTCTTTTGAATTTTCATGGCATTTTGTAACAAGGACACAAACATACACTGAAAACCTGCCCAGAGATTATCATCAGTAGTTGTACTGGCCGACTCAGAGCCATTTTCTTTCGGGACATCCATAGACAACATGTTGAAAAGGTCTGTAGCATAGTCAACTTTTGGAGGGGTATTTTGAGCTGCATCCATAGCCTGCTTTGAAGATTCAGCTTGTGGCTGTGGTGCTAATGGTTCCACTTTCTCAACAGGCTGAGGTTTGGTAATAGGAGGAGTTACCTGTTCACAATAGATTATTTCATACCAGTATAAACACTAATGGTTTTATTTAAAGAGGAAAATAAAGTAACCATCGCTCAAACAGCTCAATTAATCATATTATTACAAATAACATATGAAGTGCAGCTAATTGTAGAAGTAATAACACATGAAACTAATGACAGAACAGACATTAAAACTGCAATATCAGATAAAGTGCAACACAATGTTAAACAGCAGGGGGGAAAATTAACAGAATAACAAAATAAATAGGGAGCAAAAGTGATTACTTGCTCAGGTGCTTTTGGAGGAGCAGGAGCAGGAACACTGTTTCGTGTAGCAGGAATTGCATTTGACGGTTGGAATTTCTTCCTTCCCTCAAAAGTTTTTTCAGAAACAACATTATGACCACTTCTCTCCCCAGGCCTCTGCCAATGTGAAGGACTTCTTTCTTCCCGCAATCCAGAAGGTGTTTTTGGATTCCCATCTCTTGGAATCCATCTCTTCTCGTCATACCTTTAAATACATGCAACAATGTAACCAGGTCATAAAACGACATCCATACATCTTAAACAGTACAAAGATGAATATTTAGCGAGGTTCAAGGAGTTGAACATTACACATACTTTGCACGAATGAAATTCTCAATTCCAACTCTATCATAATTTGGTGGTAATTCTGCTTCCCAGTAGTTATTTGCTTTCTCGTTTCCCATTGCTTTGCACGACCAAAACAAGAAAATTCAAATTGACAGTGTTGATACATAATCAACGCATATCAGCAAAATTCAAAATAACCACAAACTCAAGACCACTTAGACTATCTTACATTGAATGAATGCAACTTGCTCTGGAAGCCAAGTGTCCAGGGTTGCAGAACGAACCTGAAAGGGAAGTCATTAATGATTAAATAAAGCACGTATTTAGATACTACAAAATTCCAACAATGGCTTAGGAGCTATTTCTCAGTTATTCCCACACCAAATTCATTCAGTACTATTACTATATTTTAAATGGAAAAGTAACAGATCAAATTGAAAACTTTGTCAATCGAATAAGTTATTTATCAGCCTAGAACTATCCTTATTCAGAATAAATATTAATCCACAATAAAAAGTTAAACACTGCGTGAATTATATAACGATAACAACAGCAAAAGTCTTCCCCACTTGGTAGTGTCTACAAGCTCAAAATAATTTAAAAAAAAAATCTCAACTTCCATTTAAGGAAAGGATTACCAATGACACTTATTTAGAAACCTTTGGTTAGTCATTACTAGAAAGGGTGTTTAATAAGTATACAATAAAATCAGTATTTCTTAGAAGAGTAGTGCTAACAATACTCTCTGTCAAACACATTCCTCCTAACAAAGTAACACTCTATTATCAGTTGAAACGTACTAAGAACTACAGAATCATGAGAGGGATTCATTAAATAAGATGTATGATCCACAATTTCTTTTAATTTCCAATAAATTTTAGCCAACAAAAGAGAGTATGCTCCAAAGAATGTGCGTGTGTGTGCCTGTGTTACTGAATTTCTCTTCTTGAAAAAAAAAACATTAAATTGCTACAACACATTGTCAAGCACAGAAACATACCCTCTATATTATAGAATTGGAAGACATTTTCTACAAGCAACCATAATATACATTCTCTCTCTCATAAGTTTTTTTAGATCTAACTAAAACCCTTTTAGTCTTAGCTGTATAAGTAACAAATATTAATCACAATGTTTGTAATATTCACAGTACAGACAATCCATACCAAGGAAAATAACATCACCTTTGATATATGCACACCCAAACTTCGATGTATTCCCGAACACTGCATACATATAAAGATGCCAAGATTTACACTAGCCCATCTGGGACCTCTGCAAAGTAAATTAGCATAGAAAGTTGAGAAAACATTGCTAACCACAATAATAAAAATAATATATCCAGAAAATGCATGGAAAAGAGATAGCCTTTTTTTCATGAACCATTAGTATCCCTGTGCTTAATTTACTACTGACATAAAATTCAGACCGGATCATTCAGATCCACCAGTACATACTTAGCTTTGCAGTCAGCACATTCTCTATTGTCTGGTAATTTAAGAAGTCCTTCCAGTATCTGCATATTTATAGTATGGAAAAAAAACAGTGTAAGGAGAAAAGGAAAACAGAAAATGTGGCAACCCTCAAATACCAACACTTTCAATAAAGACGAAAACCCAAATGAAAGTTCAGTGTTGAGAAAACATTAAGGATCTCACGAATTACCAATAAGCATACATCACAATGGTGACTGGAAGGAAAACTTCTCCCGAATCAATTGAACTTGGCCTATCTTTACATGGAAAAAACAACTACGAATTTCTTTCAACATTTGCTACCCAAACTAATTTTCTTCTGCAGTTGTCTTTTCCTTTTCCGTGATCAATATATAACATGACTCGAATTCACCGCTGCAGTTGTCAAGGATTAAATCCCTCTTAAAACTATAACCCTACAATTACTCCAAAAAAGAAAAACTAAAAATACCTATAAAAGGATGGACTATTGTTACAATAAGGACATAGAGTTTGAAGAAACACATCAACTAAGCTTCCGATAGCTTCATACTCTTTGCTGAACGTGTAAGTAGCGCCAAGAAACCCCTAAACTATATGTTGGGAGCTAAGCGAACATCAGAAAAAAGGATCCAAACTACCAAACCACAACATCCCATTGATTATCCCCCAAAAATATCGAAAAATGAAAGATCGACAAACCTGCCAGCCATCAGTAACAAAAATCATGACAAACATATCAAAACAAAACCTACCAGTGCCTAATTTTGCGAGCTATACCATACACATTCGCATTAAAAAATAATCCAAAATTCTCACGTTCAAAATTTCGCGACATGCATCTACTGAACAGTGACGGATTCAAATCTAACAAGAAGACACGATTAATGATCCGAGGCAACTAGCGTAGATTGGAAAATCGAAACTGAAATAAAGAAATAAGGAGAGAGAAACCTTCTTGTGCTTAGCGTTGAGTTCTTTGGTGACGTTAGCCTTACCGTTCATGGTGGAAGGTTCCAGAAGAACAAGGAAACGAATAGGAGCGAGAAAGTTAGCAGAAGAAGCTAAGCGAGAGAGGAAAGAAGAAGATCCGAGGTCAATTTGGTCTTTTCACACTCTTTCCTCTCTGTCTTTCACTCTCTCACTAAACTGAAAGCCTCGCTCCTGTTAAGAAGAAAATGTCGCCAAGGAGACGCCCTCCTTTACTTTTTTTTTATTAATTATTATTTTCATAATGGTGGAAAACACTTTTGTAATAGCATTTTCTATGAAATTATCTTATTCAATAATTAAAGTTAATTAATATTAACTATATTCTTTTTAAATAAAATAGTTTTGTATTTTAAAATTACAAATTAAAAATACTTCATGACAGTGGATTCCACGCGCAACTCCTCAACTACATTTTTACTTTGTTAAATTTAACCATTTTTCCTAATCACACAATAAAATTGATTTAAGTAAAATAAAAATAAAAATACAATTTTTTTGTATTAAATTAAAAGATTACAAATCATAAATTATTATATTTCCCTAAATTTTCTCGCCTTGGTTTTTCGGCCCACACGCTTCTATAGCTTTGTCCCCTACGCTTATCTGTTTGTTTATTATATTTTCATTATGACATTTATGTCATGAATTAATTATAAAAATATTTGCTTTTATGAAAGGGAAAGAATAGTGGCTTTTGCATTACGGGAAAAATAATTGTGTTAAACGTTTTGTGTTCTTTACTTATATGTGGAAGTTATTTTTAGATGCGTACAAGGGTTTCGACATTTTCCTGGTTCAATGTTCTGCAACTAAACGGATGCAGGCTATTTCTGTAATGTAAATAGATAATATAAATATATAATATATTTAAAAATGATTTCAATTCAATTAAAAATAGAATAAAATAAAATCATTCATTTCAATTAAAAATAAATAAAAAGACTCATACCAGACTTTTGTATACAACATTATATATATAATTAAATATATTTTTAGTTACTAAATTTTGAGGTTAAATTACAATTCATCTTTATATCAATTTTGATCTTTTGAGTTAATTTTTTTATGTCTCAAAAGAAATATTTAAGTTATTTATATTATTTAATATATTTAAATTCTAATATCAACTATATAAAAAAATATTTTTAAAGTTTAAAAACTAAAATGTATGAAAAAATATGAATGTATCATCTATAAATCTAACAAATTAGGAAACACAATAATAACTTTGAAATTCCCTGGTTTATCTCAGAAAAAGTTCAACAAAAAAACATTCTTTAAATTTTTTACTTGTGGCACAAGAACAACCCCTTTAATTACGTGCGTGAATAATTTTAATTAATAATTAGGAAATCAAATAAAAATTATAAATTTAATTAATATTTCCAAAAAAAGAATTAAGTAATAAAATAATTTGTAACAATAGTTTTAATTTAATTTTATAAAAAAATATAATAAAATTGGAAGTAATAAGTATGTATTTAATAATAATTTTATTCAAATAAAACTAGATTAAAAGATTAAAACTAACTTATATATTACTAATTATTAATCTTACTAATAATAATCATTTGAATTAACCATTAATAGTTGAATCAGGAAATAGAATAATAATCATAATATAATTAAAATTTCCAACAAAAGGAAGTAATTAAGTAACAATATAAATTGTACTAATAACTTTAATTTAATTTTAGAAAAAATATTGTTGAATATAGTGAAAATTATGTATAGGATTAATCTTCCTTATGTTGAATATACACATATGATCTCTAATATCTTTGAAAAATAGTTATATTTACTAAAATAGATAAGCTTTTTAGAGTATAGAAAAATATGTATAATGTTACATTAAAATACGGATTATGTTACAGTAAATACGTATAATGTTACAATAAAATGTTTTAGTAAATACGTATGATGCTACAGTAATATACACTCGTGAAAAGCGTGTTGCTATAGTAAAAATGTAGTATATCTACAATACTGCTAGAGTAAAAACGTAGTGCAGCTACAATACTGATACATTAACCCTAACTTCAACTATAAATATGGGTGAGGAAATGAAGTTTTTCATCTCGAAGTGAAAGTTGTGAAAAGAGAGCAAGAGTTTAGTAGTAGATAAGGAGATTTGATGGTTAGGATCTAAGTTATAGAGAAGGTTGTGAGAGCTCCTAAAAGGGTGTTTAGATTGAGTTGCAAAGAGAGTTATTTGTAGAGAAGGGTTATCCTTGTGAGTGTAGAGGGTTTTAAAGGTAGAGAAGAAAGGTGTTGCTCAGATTTTGTAAAGAAATGATCAAAGTAGTTCATCAAGAGGTAATGGAGGATAACCTTTCTTTTTTTTGTATGATTATGGATATATGTAAAAGCTTGATAGCGGTTGACCATAAGACTTTGAACATTAGTAGAGTACTCGTAAGTCTTATGGAAGCAGGAGAAATAGATCTTGATCATAAGGTTTTGGGTGTAAACATAATATACTTGTAAGGCTTATAGAAGATGGAAGAGAGTAGTTTAACCATAAGGCTTTGGGCATAAGCATAGTATACTCGTAAGGCTTATGGGAGCGGCTAAAGTGACTTTGAGAGGTGTCAAAGTGGTGGTATGTTACGAGGAATAAAAGACATAATAAAGTGAATTGAGAGCATTAGAATAATTGTGTGTAATGAATTTTAATGGTGTATGTTTGAATGATATAATGTGAGTGTGTTTTAATGATTGTATGTTATGGTTAGCTCACCCTTTCTTGTTTGTGTTTGTGCGATGATTGTATAACTCGTATTGTTATACGGGAGCAGATGATTTTAATTTTACATACGAAGTTTATATATATATATATATATATATATATATATATATATATATATATATATATATATATATATATATATATATATATATATATATATATATATATATATATTCTCAATCTACTCTTATATAACACATAACTATCACATTAAAAATTAACAACAAAAATAGCAAGGTAAGCTAATAGTCCTAAAATATCATACATAATAATTAACAACAACTTTTACAACCACACAAAATTTCTCATCTCATCCATCGTCTAATGGATTTCAAACCACAAACAATCAAAAACAGAGTTTACACATATTAGCCCAACTGACTACCTCTTATGTCATCAAATATAAACATCACATCATTACAAACACTTGATCACACAAGTGGAAGACTCATGCTTTTAATTAGACTAAGATATTTTGCATTTAGCATACTATATTAACCCATCAGACATAATTCTTTTTGATAGTGCATGCTAGGTCATGAGAACATCTATCGACTCTCACCACCTGATATCTTTCTCTATGTGAGTCCAATATTAATAAAGTTGTAAAAACCTCATTATTGATATCCCATTCAATATACAATTTGAAATATCTCAAAATAGTTTTTACTCCTTAGAAATAATTACATTCATATCACATAAAGATTAGATCAACAACTCACAATAAATTATGGTTAAACCATTAACTTTACTCAGCCACACACACATACATAAGGATATATTCATTTTAAAATACCAAACATATAATCTTTCTTGTCTAGATAAACAAATCATTTCTTTTTTCGGCTCAACACTACTTAAACAATTTACATGCATTTTCAAGAATCTAAAAGACTCTAAGTTGCTTACTCAAAATTGACTCATTAGTGACCAATCGACTTTGAGCTCTCTCTAGGAGTTTTTACTAATTTAATTTGCTTAATGAAGTCTGACTCGCCCAACAACCAAGTCATCCTAGGCTCTCTAGATTTTTATGAAAATAATTTCGCTCAACGAGTTATTTACTCTTTCAACGACCCAAAACCTAAGAACTCGGTTTTAGAGGCCCATCTAACAAGTTTTGGATCACTCAAAGACTAAAACTAGATTTAAAAACTAGAATTTTGCCTAATGAATGGATGACTTTCCTAACAAGTTAGCATGATTCAGAAATATTGTCAAATATACCAACTTATAAAATTGGTTTCAATTGGTATTTTATCTTTTCATACCACAACTAATACATTTTGTTTCTAAATTTTGTTTCTAAAATAGTCTTATGAACCAATTTGACTAAACTGATATTTCAAACTTTATTAATAATATTCAACTCATCATTTCATTACACTGTTAATCACATTAGATAATAGTATTCAATTCATCATTTCATTTTAATATTCAACATCATCAATCATTACACTTCATTGAACAACTTAAAGTAAGGATGGTACCACATCACTCTTACAAGAACAAGAATATTATCTAGCTTATAATACAGATAAGGAATAAAATAATTTACTTTATATAGACTAAACCTCTAAATCCCATCAAACATCTAAAAATTACCACTTTCACAATATGTAATACATGTAAACAAACTCAAATTGATATGTAAACAAACTCAAATTGATAGTCTAAATAAATTCTAACAATTCTAGACAAACAAATATTCATCTACATGCAGACATCACCTTTTCCATGCACATTAAACTTCCAAACCGACTTAAGAAAAAAAAGTATAACATTTAAACGTTTTCATTTAAATTATTTAAAATTTGTAAAGTATAAATGTAGACAACCTTCTAAACTTTTCGTAACATACTTTAAATGAATATTTTTGTAAACTTAACATTTGTGTGAATTATGTATTGTTTGAAATAAATTATAGGAAGTTTGAATACATATAAGCATCGACTTTGAATCACTAAAATAAAATCCATTATCATTTACTTGAATCAAATATTTGTAACATCCCAAAAATACAGAAATGAAACCATATAATGGAATTGATTACAGTTAATAATAAATCAGTTCAGTCTTAACTAAACAACGAACGTTCAGGGCCGAACTGCCTTACACAAGTTACAAACTTAATTTGTTCCAGATAAAAGAAAACATGACCGAACGGTTTACAAAAACTAAATACCGAACGGTCACATAGATCAAAAGAGAGGAGGTGACCGAACGATCACCTCACAACTAAACTACTATACACTAGTCGAACGCTCCTATGACTCGGCCTTCACTTCCACTTCTATCAAATTCTCTTTCTCCAACTGCTGTAGTAAATCGCTCGGCCTCTGGTGTTCAGCCTTTTTGCTCGTTGATAAGTTTAAGCATGATTCCAAGAAACGAGCGCATCATTCTTCATTCCTGGCCACCCAGAAGATTTCCTGA